TTTCAAGGTTTTTTCAGATACTAAATCGAAGAGAATGGTCGTTGGATAACACGGATTTTTCAAAAATTCGCCAAGGAAAAACCACAAATCCCTGAATGCGGCCTATAACATCACTCGAAAGAGAAAATCGATTGGTTTAAGTGAGGAAAAACTTACTTCGTTAGAAAATTTCTGGGAGTTTCCAGGATGTTCCATTATTGAGGCGAAGTGATCAGCCGTTGGTATAGATAGACAGATTTTTCAAAATTGGACAAGAAAAAGCTAACAATCCCACAATCCAGCTCATAATATCCCTCGAAAGAGAACATGCACTGCTTTAAGTGTGGAAAAACTCACTTTTCTAGGAAATTTCTGGGTATCTAGATTTTAGATCTAGACATAGATTAATCTCATGTGACTTTTTTCACTCTTCTAATTACCGGTGTCTCCAATAACCAAAACATTCATGGAAAATACGATCTTTAAGGGCAGAAAGATTAAACGGTCGATAGCCCTTTTCTGTGAAATAAATTTGAGATATACGACCGATATATTACGAAGCCAGAACTGAAAGCACTAAAAAATCGCGTTCGGTATTTTCTCTTTAACTCCTACAGTTTATAAGATATTTTGCTCAAATCTTTATCATGGGCTAATGTTTAGACCCTTGACCCGCAGGTAAGGCGACTGGTTGCGGAAATCTACAGGGTGTTATTTTTTTTAGAGGTATACTCCTTTTTACTTCCCGAACTTTTTTGTGGTGCGCCACTGACATCGACCGAACATTTTTTTGAATTTGTTGTTCAATTTAAGAATTTTCTCATCTCTTGCAAATTGTTCGTATATGTCTTTGTTTTCGAGTTATTTGCACAAATATAAGTCCATGTAGGGTTTCTGAGTGATTTTACATGAATCTTCTTATAATTTTTTTGCGTCATTTTGTTCACATTTTTTTGTGAAAGAAACTAATTTCATAATAAATTGAAATATTCGTTACATTTTTGTGTATTTTTAGTTGGATTAGCTTACAGCCGATAAACCTCAATTATTGTAAATTAAATTAAAGTAAAAAAAATAAATTAAAAAAAACTGCAAGAGATCAGAAACGTCTTAAATTGAACAACAAATGTAAAAATGTGTTCGGTCGAAGTCAGTGGCGCACCACAAAGAAGTTCGGGGGGTAAAAGGGGGTATGCCTCTAGAAAAACAAACACCCTGTAGATTTTCACAACCAGTCGCCTTATCTACGTTAAAAATTGGTCCAAAATATCTCATAAACGGTAGGAGTTAAAAAGAAAATACCCTGAGAAAGAGACATAAATGGAAACTCGATTTGTTTTGAGATCCTCTACTCGCCCCTGCTGTGTAGAGGAACACAGGTTCATAAGGTTGTGAATCACCCTGTATAAATTTTCCTTCCGACGAACGAAATTCAGTGATCATAAGCAGAAAATCTAGGCATAACGAAACGATAATTTCATAGAAGTAAAATAAATAAACAAGTTAACTAAAATTCGTCCCAAATAAAGATTTTTTACAGCACTTTATTCGTTTTCGAGTAGATGAAGCTCTCGTTCCTTGAGTCATTTACTATCAAACTAGTATTTTCCTGAACATAACAGAAACCACAACATCCTTGTGTGTGGTCACGGTCAAACATTCGGTCCGAGAAAACGAATATTTTTTCTCAAAATAAATAACATGATTCAGATGTATTAATTTTGCTTTCGATGTTCGGCCAAGCATCGGATTGAAATATTTAAATCAAGATTTTGAATGCGATTTAAGTTTCGCTCCCGCGACATTGAGTTTATTTGTATTTGTTTAAAGATAAAATCCAAGGATGAAATGTGGTTGTATTTTTCGTGTGTCCAAAATGCGTCTTTAAGTGGGAGTAAAAGACGAACTTTATGGAGGAAAACCAGCCCATATTGAGTAAGTTCCAGGAAAAGGGATGACATCATTCGAAAAAAACAAGCCAACCAACGTGCTCGTTCATGCAAAGCGTGTTTGAGAAATTAAAACATAGATACAGAAGCACGCAACTTAAATATGAAACTCCGAAATTAGCATGAAGGTGGCAGCTTTCTCACGGAAAATATACAGTAAACTTTTGCGCTGAAAACATTTACTTCTTGAAATTATTCCCTGAAAAACCTTCTTCGCAAGGGCAGTTTTGCTTGAATGCTGTATGAATTTGGTTTAGTAAAATTTTGAACAGCCTCTGCTACACCAAAATCACGTAAAAAATTACAAACAAGAACATAATTTCACTAAATATAAAATTACTTTTCAGCTTAAAGTATTAAATTGCAATCAGTCTGAAAATTATGTTTTTGTTATAAAACAAACCCAAACATTTGCTAATTTATTTGCAGTAAAGAAACTGTTTTTGGCACCGCCGAAGCCTCAGTTAATAAAAGTGTATTTATGAATATTTACAGTCGAGTTAGTAGTTAATTTTGGATAACACTTGAAGTGTTACAAAACTTTAAACATCGGGCCCTTGATTTCGCAGGTAAGATGGAATAAACAATGATCCCATTGAGAGTTATTAAGTGACATCTTCGAAATTATGTAGCCGTGAAAGTGGGTGAAGCAATAAATATGTCGGTAAATATTTATATTTACTAAAAGCAGCAACTAAAGATTGATAACAGCCTAATCTAATTCATCAATGATTGTGTGTTGTTTCGACACTAATCATCGGTTACAATGACAAACTGTTCATTATGTAATGCACACGGCGAGCCAAATTTTGGTGTTGCTTTTAGGTTTTGATAATTTTAAAGGAAAACGTGCAGAAATGTTTAAAATGTCGTAGATTAAACCGATGGAAAATCGCTTAAAATTGGCCAAAATTATGCGTTATTTCGAACCTGAAGCCTCTAGCATTCGAGCATTTCGAGACATTTTAAGATACTTGATGTTTGATGAAAAGTTCAGCGTAAAATCAGAATTTTTAATGCGTATTTTGTAAGCTCAATGGACTGCTTTTGACCTAAGAAGCTTCTCAACACGCACAAGTAACAAGGAAAGAATCGTGACCGATCAAAATTTGATTCAAATCAGCCAAAAATATCAATTATTTCAGATTCGAAGCGTCTACTGTATTTTTCAATGAACGCTTCGCACTTCTTACCCCTTTGTGACCAAAAAGATTTAGAATTTGAGGCATTTTGAGGAAAATATGGTTTTTTCGCATCTGAAGCTTCCAGTGGGTTTTCCCATGAGTTCGTTCGATTTCCCGCTTCCTTGTGATATAAATCGAAATCTAAAATGTACATTTCACATTCGTGTTTTTTTTACTTTCTTCAATTAATTGATTTAGACGTAAAAAAATCGCCCGCTAAAGATCGTAATTGGAAAAATTGCCTAAAATGAGTCGAAAATGTCGATTCTTTCGGATCTGAAGCTTCAATGAGTTCATTGAATTAATCGCTTCCTTGAGATAAAAATAACTCGGAATTTGATGCACTTTGAGAAAAAAAAATTCCTTGAAAAAATTGACCTCCACAATTGGGAAATTTTCGATAGAAATCAAAATTCCACATCCGTGTTTTTTGAGCTCAATGGATTGCTCGCAACTTAAGAAGTTTCTAACAATGTTTGAGTCAATAATAAGAAAAATATCACCAGTTAAAGATCGTAACTTTTTCCATATGCGAACTGTGTAGTGGTTCGGGTTGATCCAGGTTATTTTGCCCTCAATTTCTACTCAACTGGAAAAAAATGACAATTTGGAAGCACATTGGCAAGGCCATAGTCATCTGCACCAAAACCTAATCTTGGTCAAAGGCCGAAATTTCAGCCGTTTCATAGATAAATAGTATTTTACGAGGCAACATGAGTAAAAAAGTGCCAACTTGCCTCACTCCCATACCGATCTCATTATCTGCTATTTGAAATATTACACCTAGTGGCAACAAAAATTAATTATTAATTTAATGACATTCTCGATTTCCTTTAAGGCTGTTATGATGTTTCTGAGATGTTTGCTTTCCTGTTATGAGATAAGCGATAATGTTTGTTAAAATTTTACGGACATTATCAGTCTGCAAACAAGCGCACATTGTTCGACTTGTGAAAAACGATATCGCGAATTGTGAAAACTGCCCTTGAAAATTTATGTTGATAATCACTCTGCAGTAAGCAAAACTGCAAATGTACAGTTATGCGTTGAAACTATGCAAAGTGTGCAATTTTCCTTGCAATGCAACACGCTACATGATTTTTTGCTTAATCATCTATGAGTTTGTAGAGAATTTCACACACAAAATGCAACACTTGGATGGAAGTTTGAGCTAAATTTAATGGAATGGAATAATGGGAGAAAAATAGAGACATTTATTTACTTACTAGTATATGATTCTGAATGAAACTGGATATTATTATTCTGCATATTTTCTTTGTATCTCCAATTGATTTAAGATTTGGAAGTAAAATCTGCTTGAGCAGGCAACATTGTTTTGTTGCCAGTGATGCCCCCAGAAAATAATTTTTATTAGCTCGATTTGAACGATTAAACTTTGTGCATTTTGACACTGAATTTGTGCCAAACCCTACGGGCCCAACACTGGTAAGGCGCGGAAAACTTTAGGTAAAACAGTGTCTTGCCCTCCGGGGCTCGGCACAACTTCGTAAGAATACATTTTCTGGCTTGATTTTGAAGATAGTTTGAATACATGCTGAGCCTATCGGGGACGACGTGGGTAGCCTGAAAGACTCGGCAAAACTTTCTAAAAGAAAGCACTGAAAAAATATGCTAAAATTAGTGTCAATAAAAAACTTCCATTGAAAGAGACTTCCATTTAATAAACGAAAGTCTGCGCATGTTTGACTTTGCTAATTATGTTTTTCGAATCAGTTTATCCATTTTGGCCTTTTTTCCAGTCAGAATTTAGAATTCGCACCCATTTTTCCCTGAAACCGCAATGCGACTAGCGGGCACAAAGAACAAAAGGTAAGCTTGCCCAATATTCAAGTTCAACGTGCATTATGATCGTCCATCATTTTCTTACCTTTGCGTCGTCCAAAAGGGCCCAAAAAGGCGTTACTCTTGCCCACAATATTATCGTCAATGTACTTGATCAATTTGTTAACATCTTCACTTTTTTGCTTCAGCAAATTGTTCACTGACCCACTCTTTTGCCGCGATGATCGAATCGGGTAATCTTCCGGAAAAGGGTACGATTTTCTATTGCCGTAGGACTTTCTGATGGTGGCGGTAGTGGTCATCTTACCATGGTAGGACACGTAGACGGCATGCGGCTGCGAATTTTAAATTTTGCACCAATTTCCGGCAAAAAATCACGAGCTTTTAACGTAAAAATGAGACGAAACCGATGAACAAAAGCACAGAAATTACACTGATCGGTTAATCGTGGGGATCAGGTTGTTGGTTCGTTGCAGGAACTCCACTCTTACTCAGTAAGCAACACTGCACAGACGCAGCAGGAAAATCAATTGAGACGCTCATCAACGTTGTCGAAAATTTAGTTTTTTTCCAAAGTTTCATTTAAAAGCCGGCTTTATTTTGGATTTTGTAGGTTTTGCAGGATTTTTCGCAAAAATGTGCAACAGGAATTTTTTTTTTGGTCAAAACTTCTCATTCAGTATGTTTCAAGTGTTAAGTTCAAATATAAAGATTTTCAAAAATTCTGAAGAAGTTCAAATCTGCCATATTCAAAGCCAAGTCTGATATGCAAATAGTTTGGGAGAAAACAGTTCACACTTTGAAACCCCCAAAAATGGTAACATCCCTTGACCGTCACAATTACCCGATTTGTGCCCTTTGGATAATTATTTAAAGAGCAGCTTGAGCGCCTTTTTTTCTGAAATGGTGTGTGGGCGACAATAATGATGAGTGAGAGATTTAACGCTCGAAATTAATCATCCAGTTGAATAAGCGAAAGGCGCCTAATAGGGCTTTTAAGAGGGACTCACCCTGAATATATTGAACAGAACCAGAACCCGCAAGAGCCAACGGTAAAAACACCATGAGAGAAAATTGCTACGAAGTGCTGAAATTTAGACCCAAATTGTCCAGTCCATGCCCATACAAGTGAACGATTAAATAATTTTCCCTTAATTTAGGGCCGTCCTACTAGTTTTTCTCCAGAGCAGTAATTTAATGCACACGCCAGAGATTTTCACAATATTTACTGAAAAAATGCAAAAAATAGGCGGATATCAACTTTTAACGGCCCTTTTTAAGACACTCAAACTGGATTTTATAGAAAATTTAAAATTTTTGCTCCGCGAGAGTCACTCATAAAAGTGAGAGGTGCATAATCCCGAAGTTTATTTTTAATAGTTTAGAAATAAATGTGAAAATCATGTTTGAAATTCAATTTTTGAAAAGCGAGTCTCCGTTTTTAGATTAAAAAATGTGCGCACATTTTATTAGTGTTTTCGTTGGAAATTGTCTATATTTATCCATTCAAAATATCAATTTTAGCTCATATTTGGTTCAGTTTTGCCTGTTTTCTGCATAAATTGTGTTGGAACATTAATGCGAATTCCTCGCTAATAGAAACAAACAAGAAATTAGTCGAAATTGCGCATATATTCTCCTCTATTATTCCCCTTTCTTGCCAATATCTGCTCTCTTTGCATCTAAAGGAAGAAATTAGCTCAATTGCAAAGCAAGAATCTGAGTAAAGTTGATCTTCAACTCGCATTCAACCTTGTCTGGGAGTAGCTATTTTATTAACTAAATGAAATTAAGCGAAATGAAGAACTTCTTGCGGTTTTTCAAATAGAGACAATTTGGAAACAAAAATGACCCAAATGTTCTCAGTGTTTGCAACAAAAAACATTCACAAACATACAGGTACTGAAAAATTTGCAAAGTTTTTTCAAAGACTAGCACTCTTGGACGACTGCTTAAAAGCATATAGACCACGATACACATAAAAGTTGTAAGTGTATCGTGATATAGACAGCAACAGAGGTAATAAAGGACGCAAACCCCTCCAACAGCGTCTATCTCTATCTATCGGCACTCGATTTTGACAGAAATTTTGCCAAAATGGAAGAAGCAGAAGAAAATAAAACAAAACCTTAGTTTAATCTCATTCCTCAACCTCAAACTGATTGGACTCAAAATTTGCTTTTTCAGTCCTTTCTGCGTGGTTGTTTTTGTTCAGGGTTAAAAAGACACAGTCCGGACACTATTTGCCATGAATCAGGCCGAAGTCTCAAAATTGGTGTCTCAGTTGAGGATTCCGGCCCCGTCCAGGCTGAGGAAGTTTCGGAACCCCAGAGGACCTGAAGGTAGACTGGATTCTTTGAGGAAAACCGTGACTGCTCTTGTAAAGCACGAGCGAATCGAACTGAATTTCCCCAGGGCCCATGAAACCAGATTATATGCTGAGAGGGTAAGCTTGTTTGGATCATTCGTCTGTACAGTCTAATGAGCTATATTTTAAATGGCAATTAATGCTCGAGGGCAAAATTCGAATAAATTGAGCTAATAAAACGCATTGATTTCAGCTGATATCAGATGCCATTCGATATGGGGACTGCCACAAGACTACAATGGAAATGGCGGATTACTGGCTAATGGAAAAGCAGCTGGTTCATAAGCTTTTCAAAGTCCTCGTTCCTCGATATGAGAACTATAATATTTCATACACCAGGCTGTTGAAGGCACCGAGACCCTACCCAGGTAAATTACAAATAATATTGCATGAAAACGTTTTTGTGGGGAGTAATTGGAATTTTTAAATGCAAAATTTTCGGCTTCAGCTAGGAGAACATGCGATATTCATGATTATTTACGGTTGCAAACAGGAGGATGTATAATATATTTTTTTTGTATTAAACAGTCTAAATCTTGCCGAACTGGTGAACGTGTGATTTTAATCAGTATCATGAAGCTGCTTTGTGCATTGTTGAATCAGCAACTTCCTTCATTTTCCATTCATTCCATGAGGAACAAACGACGGGATTTGGAATCCCGTCGTTTTGTTCCGTTTCTGTGTTTCAGACATTCCCTTTTTTAATCAGGGGAGAACTGAGCACGTTTTGGCTTTACCGAAGACTCGCGCTTTAGCTCCTTAATATTCAGAAAGTTTCGCTTTTTTACCGACGGTAACAGTTTATTTCTTCAGTTGCGTGAAATTTGAGACCCTGCGTACAATCGGGTGATCCTCCTGGCCAATAAACCGAGCCAGGCTTGGTCCTAAAATTTCGAATTTCAGCGGCATTGGCCAGCAGAACGTTCCCATTTAGCACTTATCGATCATGATTGGTACCAAGCTTAACCGATCCACCCAATAACATATAATACAATAACAGTATAGGTGAATAAACCCCACCTATACTGTTATGCAACAGTAGAAAAGGCGTTTTCCATGCATTTAAATGTATTTTCGACAACAAGAGTGTCTAGCCGAATTTAATCGAATTTCCTGTGTGCAAAATCGAAGTAAATCGCGATTAAATTGATATCCTGGCTAAAGCTTTTTTTACCTAAATTTTACTTCTTTCTTTTTTCATCAAATACCTACCTAAGCAAAGTCTGTTTTGAAATAACCAAAAAAAAATAGAAAACATGGCCATAAATGTAAAAAAAATGTTTCTTTTAGGACACGAAATCGATAAAGGCGTTTTAGAGCTGAGAGGCAATCCGTATCCTTCTTTGCTGCCCGATACCAGTTCCAATAAGAATTTGATCCACAACGTGTTGCTGGAGGAGGCAAAAAAAGCATACAGAACGCGCAAATATGCTGAAATTGCTGCCAGGATCGATGCTGCAGAGTCAGCAGTTGGACTCAGCAAGCCGGAAGGAGTCGAGGAAGTTGCGGACAAATGGAAACCTGCCCAGAAAAACGACGAACTGCTGAATGGCGGTGATGAAAATAAAAACGCTTAAGTTAGTTTTTTGTAATATATTGGTTTAATTCGCGCGGGTCTAATGAATATTCCTTACTCTATTTCCGAACTCCCCTTGCGTGAAATGTTGTTAATTTACCGACAAAATAAACTGGAAAACGGAGGGTAATTAAGTTTACAATCGTTCATCGAATCGAAGCCGATCATAACAACAATTTGCGTTTATTTCTGGTGGTTTTACGACTACGAGCTGGAATACCTTGAAGGCTTTAACGTTCAGTTTATGATTTATACAAGACAGCTTTAGCGTACATTTAGCAAGTTTCAAAATGGGTTGATGCACAAGAGACACTTAGACATGAAACAACTTTCCACAAACAACGTACGTGCTTCGTTCCTTTTTCCGACAACGAAAATAGATGTTTCTGCCAACAATAACAATAGGAAGGCCGATTGATAAATATTATATTTGAGCGCACGTCACGGTTTGATTGGAGGATTTATAAGTGTTTGGAGCCTGCAAAGAAAAAAACCATATTCGGATTTAATCTTGCCTATTCCAGCATCGATAAGGCGTCGATCAATTGCCTCTATCAACGAGAAGTTGGCATCCTTGTGATAAATCTGAAGAGTTTCTCAACCTTTCTTTATAGCGGGAGCAGAAAGCAACAGAGAGCTTCTTTGAAATTGTCGGATCTATTTCCGTATGAAAAAAGCCAAAAAGAATAAACTGTAACGGAGCCAAAAAGCTAAACTTAACATTAGTCGTATCTTTTCACTCTAGCGGACAGCAAGTGCATCGTCGGGGCCAAAAATATTTTTTTTCAAAACTGGCGCTCGCAAATCACGCAGGAAGCGCGCCGCGTGGTTCTTATCGAAAATTGTCGTCTCAAACATTGCCGATCAGTTTCACATCAGGGATTTTATTCTTCATGAAGCTGGGATTTGATGGTAAATTGTTTGATTTAATCCTGAGTTTCGTGGAGAGAACCAATTTTTATTCATGCCGACTAACGTTTGCTTGCTACCTAAGTTGAATGAGAAAGAAGTGTTTGCTGGTTTGACCAATTTGTTGAAAACTGGCTATTTTGTTAGAAAGACTTTATTTAATTGCAACTTTAGTCTATAATGTCGACCTGTACTTCTGTATCTTCTTTCTTCTCTTGACATTCTTTCTTATATTGGGACGAAGATTTACTGAAACATTTGCGGGGATTCGGGAATTAACGCTTTCAGCTTTCAAGTTAATTTTAAAAATAAATGTTGCAAAAAAAATTTAAATAACTATATTAAAAGTGCTCCTGCCTGCCTGTTGGTTTCATTGTTGCCTTTGGCTTTTGTTTGTTCTCGGCGAATACTTTGCTTTTGTCTGATTTGCGTAATTTTTGTGAAAGTAGCTCTGATTTTCATGATTCAATTTTGTTATTGTCTTGGCTGCTCAGTTTTCTTCTCCAGGTTTGCACTTTTTTACAGTTCAAATGACAAAAACTTTTGTTTTAAAAATTTCAGAGTTGGACTGTCTAAGTGCGAGTGGTTCTGCTGAAAGTCGGTCTAGAAAGTGTTAAAACACTTACCTTAAACACTCCGATGAATGGTTTGAGTGGTCGATTACCTTAATGATTTCCGTTGCTCGCCGAAGTGATGTAGATAGTTTGTGGACAATACTTTTGGTGAAACCACAAGTGAATATGGGTATGGAGACCAACAGCAAAATTGTCACCAGATCGAAAACAATCAGTAAGTTTTCAGTTAAAAAATGTTGTATTGAATGGTTTCTTCGTCAATATACTGGGTGTAACGAAATGGCTAACAAGAAGCAAACATTGTTTCAAGTTTCATTAAAAGGAAATATTCAATTCACGCTAATCCACAATAAATACTGATTTTAATGATTCGAATCAACTTGAGTGGATTATAAAATCGAATGGCTATTTATTTATATTTTCGCTTCAAAACGATATTTATTTTATTCCAGCCGTGCCGATCTACACATCCATTGAGAGAGATTTGAATTCGCGCTCAATTATAAAATCAGCGATTTCATTTTCCACGTTCAAAACTTCAGCAAGAAAGTTAATATTTCTCTTTATATGTGCGAGAAGGAAGGATCGGCCTCGCCGTATATTTTTAATCCAGCCGCTATAAATATGAAATATCGTAGATCTTCTGGAGGTTTTTAATACGCATTGCAGTTGGGTATACAAAGTGGCTTATTAACAAATTGCGCCGCTAACAAGCCAGATTTTAGGTTTTTTTAATTAATGGTCAGTAATTTGGATCGGATTTTCATATAACGCAGATGGCACATACAAGACGATAAGATTAAGTCAGAATTTTACATAAGTATTAAGAAATATTTTGCATACCGTAATGAGATTGTTCGTGTTGAAAAACTCGAAAATATGCTCTAGCTGGAGTTTTACAGCTGACAAAATAATAAAGTATTCGAAAACGTGAATTTTAACAATCAATTTCCTAACGCCAGTGCCAACTTTTTGTCGTGTACCTACATCTGGTGTTGAAAGAAGAGTCGAACAGCCTTGGAAAGAAACTCGTGGAAATCCCGGATAATTTTCTGTTTAGCGCTTAAGTTATAAATACAACATGTGGAATCGGATTTGGTTTGTCTATAACAATGAGCTGGATGCAAGTGAATAAATTTCCAGCTTGTAAATTCCGCTCCAGGATGTTACCAAGACGGTTTCGTGCGATCTGGCACATCCTTGAAGAAAAAAACGGCTAATTTTATCGCAAGATATTAACCCGCACATCTTAAAATCGAATGCTGGAAAAAAGGATACACAAAAATCTAATTGGGAACCTAAAAATACCCCTCAAGTCGTCACAAATGACTAAGGTTAATAGAGTTTGGGCTGTGAGTAATTACTTATTGGCGCAAAATTCATCATCATTAAATTAACTGTCTAAACATTGGGTTTTACGACCAAACATGCGGTGAATGACGTATCTGGGTGGAAAAAAGGAACATTATGAACCCCGTCCCTGTTAAAATTGAGTTAAAACAGAACAAAAAAGTGCAATTTTTATTTTGTCATTTTTTTCTGCCCATCTGTGTATTTTTGTTGCTTGTTGTTTATCACCTTCATTTTTAGCTGTCTTTCACAGCAAGCCTTTCTAAATTTCAGACCCAAAATGTAGCTTGGGAATTCTGAACTTTTTAACACAAACCTGCTAAAATTGAGTTCTAGTTCATTTTTGGGCAGTTCTAGATATTTCTAAAGAATCAACAAATGCTTGAAATTGATTCAAATTTTTAATGCGCCCAAATAGAGCTTTTTTAAAATTGCATCCAAAATTATGGTTTGAAATATTTTTGACTTTAGGAGTTATGAATTTTTAAACGCAACCCCGCAAAAATGTTAAGTTCATTTTATTTACATTTGGAAATTTCTAAAAAAAAATTAAATTTAAAATTTTCAGGAAATTGATCAATGTTTGTTTAAATTTTGAAAACTTTTCACCAAAGACCTTTAGCAATTATTGCTCAAGTTTCAATTTGATATTTGCGGGGTTACGCAAGTTATGAATTTTAGAACGCAAACCTGCGAAAATTGTTGTCCCAGTTTGTTTAAGCACAAATTTGGAATTTATCAAAAAAGTCTTAGTACGAAATTGATTAAAATTTTAAAAATGCACAGAAAGTTTTCTTTTTAATTGTGCCCAGAATTGTAATTTAAAATCTTCTCGATTTTAAGAGATAGGAGTTTTTAAACGCAACCGCGCAAAAATCGTTGGCTCGTTTTAGTAGCAAGTTTGAAAATTTACGGGATATTCAGTAATGTTTCCAATTCGTTTGAATTTTGACAATTTTTCAGCAAAGACCTTTATCAATTCTGGTACATAGTTTAAATTTTAAATTTGCCTGTTTTCGTAAGTTGTGATTTTTTGAACGCAAACATGTAAAATTCTTCTCAAATTTCATATAAGCGCAATTTATAAAAAAATACCAGATTCGCGCAATTGATTAAAAATTTGAAAGTGCAAACAGAAAGGTTTTGGTCAAATGTGCCCAGAATTGCAATTTAAAAATCGTCTCGAGTTTAGGAGTTATGAAGTTTTAAACGCAACCGCGCAAAAATGGTTGGTTCATTTCAACTTACGAAAACAAGCAAATTTAAAATTTAAACAATGTGCCAGAATTGATAAAGGCCTTTGCTGAAAAATTGTCATAACTGAAACGAATTGGGAACATTTTTGAATTTCCTACAAATTTTCAAACTTGTTACTGAAATGAGCCAACCATTTTTATGCGGTTGCGATTAAAAATTCATAACTCTTAAAATCGAAAAGATTTGAAACTATAATTCTGGGCACAATTGACCAAAACCTTTCTGTGTGCATTTTCTGTAAAATTTAGAGTCAATTGCGCGAATTTAGTTTTTTTAGAAATTGTCAAAATTGCGCTTATATGAAATGAGAGAAGAATTTTGCATGTTTGCTTTCAAAAATTCACAACTTACGAAAACAAGCAAATTTTAAATTTAAACTATGTACCAGAATTAATAAAGGTTTTGCTGAAAAATAGTGAAAATTCAAACGAATTGGAAACATTACTGAATATCCCGTAAATTTTCAAACTTGCTACTAAAACGAGCCAACGATTTTTGCGCGGTTGCGTTTAAAAATTCATAACTCCTAAAATCGACACGATTTGAAATTGCAATTACGGGCACAATTAAAAAGAAAACTTTCTGCGTATTTAAAAAATTTAAATCAATTTCGCGCTAAGACTTTTTTGATAAATTCACAAAATTATTCTCCCATTTCAGATCAGCGAAATTTTGGAGAATTCTAAAAAAATACTAGATTCGCGCAATTGATTCAAAATTTCGAAATGCACACAGAAAGGTTTTGGTCAATTGTGCCCAGAATTGCAGTTTAAAATCGTCTCGATTTTAGGAGTTATGAATGTTTAAACGCAACCGCGCAAAATTTTACGCTTGTTTCATTTAACAGCACGATTGGAAATTTCTGTAAAATTAATGGGTGTCCGAAATTGATTTAAATTTTCCATATTTTCAATTAAATAATTAATTGGTTTTAAGTTTTCTTATTTTCATAAAAGAGACGACGTAAAACATTGGATAAAAATAGAATTTTCTAAAGTAAATTTTGTACCTTTTGAACGCTTTATTGGGTCACTGGAATTGGGTCTAATTTTAAAGATTATCTTGTTCCAACTCTAATTTTCTACATGTGCGTTTAGGCTGCAACATAATAATACGCTAGCCATGTCACTGCCAACATTTTCAAGCCGAAAAATTCGTTTCGTCTATCCAAGAAATGCTAGAAATTGTATGTCTCCACCCACAAATGCACCATCTGGGTTATACAACCTACTAAAAATACACGGAATTCTCTATGATCCTTTTCTGAAATATTTAAATAATTGAATAAAAACTGTCGGGATAAGGCGACTGGTTTATCAGGCAACTTTCAGCGGGCTTGGTTATTTATATAAATAATCTGCCGATCCCCAGTTTCATTTTTCACTAATTAAATACGCCTAGATTATTGCTAGTTCAGTCACACTGGATTTTTCAAAATAGAAACAGATGTTGGTTCGAGGAATACATGAAAATGTCTGATATTTAATATAAAATGAGTCATTTTTTTCAAAAGAAAAAAGCATATTTATCACCATCTAATAATAATGATTACTTGACGATTTGGCATCCCTAAGACTATAAATTTAAATGAAGGCCGAATTTACAAGTGTTTTTGGGAACATTTTATTACGTGAAATTTGCTCTGTTTAGTGCGCATTTTTAGTTTAGTTAGCAAGTTTCGGTTTATTTCGCAATTTTTAAACCCGCATATCGAGCAAAGGCGCAAGAAATATCTATAAAATCCAAACTTTTATTTCCAAAAATTAACATTTTAAGTAAAACAAAGTTGAAATAGACAAAAGGGAAATCACCTTTACCTTAGAATGAATGTAAGAATTGATCAAGTCATTTAACAAGTTTTAGTCGAATTGCAGGGCCGTTGTTTGAAACTCCTGAGTTTTCCGGACTTCCAGCCCCTCGTAAAAGATAGTTTTCCGTGACGTTTCGCACAGTGGCTTGCATCTTCAGGGGTTTCTTGTCGAAGCAAGCTGAAACTGCAAGTGGGAAAAACTCGCAAGTTTCCATTTCAATAAAGTTCAACCAAAAACATACAAAAGTATAAAACAAAGCCTTTACAACCGCACATAGAAATTATTTTAATTGACTTTCGGGTCTATTCCTCAGCAAATAAACCGGCAAAACACCGTTTTGATTTCGACGATTGACGCACCTACGCAAATCGAAATTAATGGCCGGTTATTTTCGTATTCCAGTCGCGATCTTTTTTCAGTCTCGAATGCAGTTCATTCGAGTTTCCATTAATTTTTAGAGCGGACATTACAGCTAAGGGTTTCATCGATCCGAGTCGATTTTGTTCTGTTCTCTGAAGTCGTTGATCTACCTGAGAAAATTTGAAGAGTTCTAAAGAATAATTTTCTGTTTCACCAGCCAAATTTTGTAATTCTGTTCAAGGGAGAATGTGGGAGATGGGAAGAAGTGTTACATATTTAATAGAGTCGTAAACTGTAGAAATACAAGCACTCTTTCAAGTTCCATTGATGTTCCTAGGGTTATTAACAGAACTCAAACCGTTTAGTAGCCGCTTAACTGTGCACAGTAAATTGTTCCTTTGTTTTTTTCCTGCAATGTATACAAACTTAAGTATTCGACTATCTCAACGGAGCGTTAATTTTAGAATTTGCATCACAATGTCACAGTTGTGTTTCCAGGGCGCTTTTGCCAAAATTTTCGCGAGAGTGACGTCATTACATAGTGTTTTACAGCCGTGAGTATGACCGTTGGTAAATCGTCGTCGTGGTCATTATTTAGGCAACGAGTGCAGTCATATGATTTACATAAATTTTTCGGTACTTTAGAAAGTCGATGGAATTACTTTTTCAACTAACAACACGGAAAAAGTGGATGTCTATCAGAACATAATAAAACTGCTATGGAACAATAAACAGCCGAAGGATTTAGGAGTTCCACGTGCAGTACACAACAGCTTTTTAATCCAACGCTTTGTTTCAAACTTGATGCAAAAGCAAACATTCTGTCGAAGTTTGCTTTATCAGTTATGATTCCTTCTCACACAATAGCTTTTCATCGCACTGCAACGTTTATGCAATATTTTTGCATGTAAACTGAAGTTGCGAGTTAAAATTCTTGTAATGTTGCCGTACGCATTTCAGCTTACACTTCCAGAATCATCTGTCTTTGGTAGCTACAAACAACTAACAAACGAAAAATACTAAAGCTGTATATTCAATTTTGTTTTGGATTGACAACACGGTTCCTCATGAGGAACAGCCTGTTCATGTCTCAAATACACAGCGCAATAGTTAGGATAATGCTCAGAAGAATGATTTTTGGAAGAAATTGAGGCAAC